GGGGCGGGGCCGGCCGGGCTGGAGCGGAGAGGAGGGGGCTCGAGCCTAGGGGGGGCTAGGCTCTGAAGCGGGGACGGCTACGCCTCCGTCCTCCTGTGGCCATCGCCCGGGAGCCCAGCGCCTCGGCGCCGGTGCGGGGCGCCCGCCTTGGCTGACGAATCGCCCCCGCTCCAGAGAAACGCACGCCGAGCGGTGAGGGCCACTTCCCAGCCCGCACGGGACTCTGTTTCTAACTGACTGAACCGGACGCGCGTGGGACCCAGGCCTTTGAGAGAGGCCGTGGGAGGGAGTGAAGTTTTCTTTCCCAACCTTTCGGAAAGGCTGCCAGTGGCCGCGTGGGGACAGGGCGGGCGGGAGAGCTGCGGCCGCCTAAAGGTCACAGCCAGCTTGGTCTGGCCCTGGGGTCCAGGTTGGGAGCCACCTGTGCACAGCTCCTGGCTGCATCCCTGAAGGCCCTGGGAGTGCCGGGAGGCGGGTCTGCCGGGAGGGCCAGCTGCGGACAGGCCCTGGGTGCACGGTCAGTGTTTCCGGCCTGTTGCCTTTGGGGTAAAACGATCCTCTTTTTGAAGTCAGCATGGCTGTCAGGCCAGAGGGGGACCAGCTGCACCGCCATCAACATGAGGTTCTGTTAGAATTCCTGCCATGTGACCTTGAGCACATTGCTTCGCCTCTCATCTGTGAAGTCTCCTCATCTGTGAAGTGGGCCGTTGGAAACACTAAATGGAATGAAACAGGAGCTGCAGGGTTGCTCAGTGAACATACCAATAGCTGGTCACAATAACACTGCACGATATTCCCTTTTTGGTTTCTGTGAAATGAATTTATTTAAAAAGAAGTCTACAGAAGTCAACCGCACACGCGCATGTGTGTGTGTGTGTGTGTGTGTGTGTGTGTGAACCCTGAGATAGCGGGTGAGGAGGACATGCCGGTGTGACCTCAGGCTGGAGAGGGAGCAGGCACAGAGCTCAGCCCTCGAGGCCACTGGTGCTTCCTGTGGGCTGGGAGGGAGGAGGCCGGCGCAGAGAGGAGCGGTGCTGAGACTTATGGGAAAATGTCCACATTCGAGTTAACTTGGGAAATGACCTTCCTTCAGAGGGTGGGGCTTGCACCTAGTCACTCTGGTCTGGGAGTCCCTGGCGATGTCCTCAGGGCTCCAGCCTGTCTCCATGCAGGCCCCCACTCCTGGAAGCTGGGTCCAGGCCCAGATGCTGCTGGTCAGCAGAGGCAGCCGTCGGCTGCAAGCCTGCTTTGGCCAAGCGCAGGGACCAGAGGTCTCGCCACGCTCCTGCTTTGCTGCTTCTCCTGTCCGGCGTGGGCTCCTGTCTCTCACTGCTGGAGGAGGAGCCATGACCTTCTCCTCTTACGTGACACATTGCACTGATTGCCCAAATCCAGCTGTTGCCTTAGTGTTAGGACCCAGCAGTGGAAGCCAGAGGTGAGATTTGGGTTGTAATTCCACAACAGTGCTCACCAAACCCGAAAAAACTACCAATCCTTTGGAACAAAAAATTGTTCATGTAATTATTCAATCACCTCCTGTGGTCGGCAAACCGAGGCTCGCGAGCCACATGCGGCTCTTTGGCCCCTTGAGTGTGGCTCTTCCGCAAAATACCACGTGCAGGCGTGCACATACAGTGTGATTGAAACTTCGTGGCCCATGTGCAGAAGTCGGTATTTTGTGGAAGAACCACACTCAAGGGGCCAAAGACCCGCATGTGGCTCACAAGTCGCGGTTTGCCGAGCCGCAGATTGCCGTTGCTGGAATATTGGCCTCCATTCCTGGAGCGGCCCACTAAGAGGAAAAGACACCAACTGCTGCCCTGGATGGAGAAGATGGGAGAGGATGAGGACCTGCCTGGGGAACCTGGAGAGGCTGCTGGGAGTGGACAGGGCACACCCTGCATAGAAACCC